GGTGCGCGCCGGGGCTAGAAACGCTGGCCCTGGTTTTGATTGTTTTGGTGGCTTTGACTCATGTGCTGTGGTAGTTTCGTTTCTAGCCCTTCAAGTTCTTCCACCAATACCTAAGGATCAAACTGGAAATGAGGTCCTCTTCTCTTGGCTCTTCTCTCACAGCGATCGTCTCGGCCGCCAAGCCATCTTTGCCCTGAGCACTGTCCTCCTGTTCTTCGTACTCAGATACCTCGATGACTGCGTCACGAAGAGGGATCCATGATCAAATGTTTTCGTATGGTGTTTTGACGTTGCGAAGCGATTTCCTCCTGGTCCGGATTCCGAATCCTCTGTTGCACTTCATCTCCTCTTTTCCGCAATCGCTGCCGTCTTCTTCTTCACTCTCTTCGCTGCATTCTACACTGCCTTTGTCTTTGTCATCACCGTTCCAATTTGGGTACTGATATTTTTCTTGGATATGTCGCCCTACATCCTGCCATTGGTTTTGTTTTCATTTCTCTTGCTTCTTTTTCTGTTTCGTCATATCATGCACTCTTATCTGGCCAAACGAAGATCGGGATCTAAAGGTATAGGCCGAAATGTCCGTGACGCGTGATCAACCGATTCTTGAAGCGTCTTGTGAGCATTGTAATGTTTAGGCTGACGCTATTCCAGCCCAGTAATTTACCACCTTCACTTCTTCTCATTCGGAATGAAGATTGGAGATCGCGCCATTTTATGCCTTGGCTCGAAGCCCAACTTACTCATTATGTACAATAATCTGCGAGCACAGAGCAGAGATTCCGCTTATGAATTCTGCGTGGCAAGCATCATTCTGGCGTGTCTGTAGAGGTGTTCATTTCGAGGCGACTACTTGTAGCCTTGCATGCGCTTACTGGCTCAATTATTCTGCTCATCACTATCCAGCAAAGGCGCAAACTTGGTTGAGAATTGTCCAACATTTCCAAACATTCGACTTCCTCTTGGGCTCTATGTGAAAACTTGACGCACAATGTCAGAGTAAACTAAAATTCTATCCCGGAGAGTCTCCATTAAAACTCGTACAGCTGAGCAGCCTTGCTTTTATTAAAACCAAAGATCGGATAGAAGGGCAGAAATTGTACAGTCGCAGAATTGTGAACCCTCTTCGGACAAGTCCAACACCCCTCCCTGCTTCAGGCAAGGAAATTTGAAATTTGATCTTGCTGTCACGAATGCCATTTGAATACAATATACTGGATAGGTCCATGGTGCTAACCAAACTCCAAATGGTATGACCAAACAGACCAGCGATTCTGGAATTGTAAGTTTGGCTCTCGTCTTCAAGATGCTGGCTCTTGCCCATCAACTCGCCTCAAATCCATGTAAATGAGTAATGTTAACCTCAAACATGTTTGCAAGAGTCGTGGGTACCAGTCTATTACTCGCTAACCAAGGTTCGCTATGTTTCAAGTTTAGCTGAAGTCAACTCATATGAGTTATCGACCTTACATGGACACAACAGCCCTTAGGGATGGATGATCATTACTTGTAATCTATAATCAAAAATATATTCTAGTCATTTGAATAAATGCTACAGTTTCAATTGCTTGGCTAATGAAATTCTTACTCATATGAATTGGTAAGATTATTTTTTGAAAAAAATTGGGAGGCAGGAAATTCTGTTGCACATTTCTTCCCTGCTCCAGTGCAATTGACAGCACGAAGTTCAAGACATAAGCTTCACCTTAACAAAACCACTTTTATCTGAAATGTCTTCCGGGATCCTCTACCACCAAGGTTTGTAAGAAAGCAAAATAGACCCGACCCTGTCTTTAGACATGTATGTTTTTCAATATGCACTTTCTCGGCTCCGGGCCCTTGTGTACAAACAAATCATTGTAGATGAACTGTAGGAGTTAATGGTGAACAATAAGTCGTGATGGGTGATTTCCTGCAATGTACTGGAGTAGACAGTCCTGGAGAAGAGATTTCCTCAAAGTGGTCAAGTGGAATCTACAAACCTTCTCAAATCTTCACCACATTTTCATGTTTTCACTGTCTGGGAGTCCATGGCGGACCGAATGATTTTATTCAATTCCCAAAGCTAAAATGAATGAACGTGAAGACACAAAAAGCATGTTGAGTTTTTGGTGCTTAGATGAGAGACTATACACCAGTTCAAACCTCACACATTATCAATCTTGCCACCAGAAACAAGGTCTGCTACCGTTTCTGCAGATCTGCACCACCATGCCAGGCACGCCGATTCTAAGGAATTTCCGAGGATCAGCGAGCAGAATGTCTAGTGAAGATTTTCCCTTAACTGATTTCGGCATTAGAACATGTAAAACTTATGGACTTCTTCTCCTGCAGCCTCCAGATCAATCTCTTGGGAATGAAATCCCTTGCTCATAGAATTTACAGTAGACAATCAAGCTGCCATAAAATTACTCCTGACCGCAGTTGAAGGAAGAGGAAATAAAATGGGTTGATCGTTTCATGAATTGTTCCGACCACCCAGTTCTGAGTAAATTCAGGATAAATGACAGACGGAGCATGACAAAGCTAGCTGCAGTCACGTATCTAAGAAGCGATTCGAAGTATTACTTCTGGACCCTCTTTCTCACAAACTCTGCACCATCCTCAACCACAGGCCAATCATTTGGCCCCCGAGGTTTGCACGAACTTATTCGTTTCCTCAAGAGCCTGCCGCTCGAAGAGTGCACAACGGGTGTTACGAAGGCCAGGTGAGGAAAGACGACGCCAGCATATCTTGAACACTGCTTGTGGTGGGAAACATCATTTTTAAACACGGCGACCAGCTGTAAATTTTTTTTGTAAAACGAAATGGCATAAATTTTTTTCCTGTCTATTCTACAGTAGTTCGACCTACATTATTCAGAACAAGAACAGAACGTTATAGTTACAGGCTCGCTTTTTCCTTCCAGACGTCGTATAAGGTCCTGGACAGCGGAGGGAAGCTATAATTCTTCGTCTGGGTATTCCATTCACCGCGTGGCAAGTTGAGCCGCGTGATTGCACCTGCACTATCCATTCTCTCCTCCAATCTCACAGAATTAAAAACGTTTGCTGCTTGGCATGTGCAGATGAAATGTAAACCGGGCATACAAGAGTCCTCCTCAATAAGCAAGCCCAGCTCTAGTGAAGAAACTTAGCTTACCTTCGCAGTGTCACAGCTGGTGTGCATGTGCGTGCTGGGCATAAAATTTGTTGCACTCTGCATGATCAGAGACACAAAGATTAAAACCAACCTTGGCACAGAATCAGATCAAGAGCAATGACCACGAACGCAGGAAGATTGTGTAAAGTAGAAGCAAGAGGCTTCTAAAACTCGGTGCAAGGGACGACAATCAATAAGAATCAAAACGAATGTAGAGAACGTAGGATTTTGGTTCGAAAAGTAATTGAGGACAATCACTTTGAATCAAAATGATAGTAAAAAACCAGGATTTCGGTTCCAAAAGTAATCGTAGACCATCAATGTGAATCAAAATGAACACAGAGAACCAGGACTTTGGTTTCAAAAGAATCGTAGAGCGTGTGCAAAAGAGATTTCACGTTTGTCGGAATCTGAAACCTGTTGTGATCTTGTACAGAGCTAGGTGTTTGATGTGCACTAGTCATCGAACTCGAACTGAATATAAAAGCTGATAGCTCTGCAGGTAAATCTGAAATCCAAAACAAAACATATTGTAAGTTTTGCACTCTATATTCATATCATAAATCAAATGAAAAATTGAAAGCACATTATTCAACTGTTAAAAATTTTGAAACACAACCGTGTTAATTCACGTCGTTCATTTTCTCTGTTTTGTGTGTAAAGCACATTCACCTAAATTTTTGTTAGAACATTTGAAATTGTGATAAAAAAATTCCCAGTATGCTTTGCATACTGGGAATGTATGCTTTGCATCTTCATTTGATGAGACTTCTGATCTCAAAGTGGTTAATTATAAACACGCTCTTTTATTTTATTTCAAACAAGACAATTCTCAAAAAAAGTAAGTGTATTACATTTTTCATAAGAAATTTTAGTTGACTTAAAGATTTTGACTCTACATTTTGGATTTTTTTGGTTTTATTTTTTAAAAGTTTTTTGCGCTTTGAGTTGTGTGTTGTTTTATTTAGATGCATCATAAAGAATAATCCAATTCAAATAAAAATAAATGGTATAATTTCATTTATGAAGTAAAACGTTGAATTTTTACAACTCTATTATCAAAGTTAAAACAGAAAACTGATAAAAGCACAGTAAATTTTTTTAAATTATGTGTCAACATACCTACACACTTCAACATTTTTTATTCAATTTTTATTCAAGTTGAACTAACCATTAAATATAAAATTTTGATGCAAAAATCATTAGAGATTTCATAATAATGACTTATTCGCTAGTTTGTTTCTCATTCAAGTTGAAATGCAGCCTGATTTTTGTAAAAAGGATTTATTTCTGAGAACAAACATATGTGGTCTCAATTTACTTGACAAGCTATTATTTTAATTTTTTCTTCTATGTTATTTAACTTTTTGATTCTGTATTTTTGTCATTGTTGATGTCCATAATTCTTGGATTCTGTAGATGTTCATTGTTGTAATTGTAGGAGATTCTTAGTGGTATATTTTAATTAGAATGCAATTATTACATTCACATAGTCCATTGGAACTTTCATTAGACAGTTTGCTGGAAATCGATTTTGCTCACAGTGACGTATACTTAGATTTGGCATTCATTATGATTACGCACCATGCTCTCCTACGGAATCATTGGCTCTTGATGCAACATCTCTTAAAAAATGCACAACAATATTCTTTAAAAACGCAAAACAATTTTTTTTATGATCCACAAATTGTTACATATTTTAAAATTTGTCTCATCCCAATTGGAAGTTGTGAAGCATACTATTTCTCATTAAGTGATCCTTTTGAAAATATGCCAATTCACCTTACAGAAGAAAGTGAAAATGCTAGACTGTATACTTTTGAATTTTTTTGGGGGCCTAAGCTAAAAAGTACACCACACAAGACAATGCCTCAACTGTAGAATCCATTAAAATCACAATAGCCCCTTCTATTTTTTTTTAACACGCATTCTGAGTCAAACCCTGAGCTCAATGGAATACATCATCCCAGAAGCCTCTTTATTCTTTCAGCTTCTTCCCTGCTACTGGTGCCTACAGAACTAAGCACCAGTATTTTTTAGTCCAAACGCAGGAAGTGCGAGCCACTTTGGCAAAATGAAACGGAGCATTTTTTATATGGATGGGAATGAAAAGCGTTTATCCTGGAAGAATAAACGCATAAGAGGTTGCTTTCCAAGCAATAGTGGAGATATTATACTCTCCTCTACGGGTGAGTATAATCAAGCTACTGGGATACGGGAATAATAAAAATAATGCGGAATCGCATAAATTAGCACAAGTATGATACTGATAAGTGATTGAGAATGATTACTGTAAATGCTATGAAACACGTCACATCTCCAAACTGTGTTCCACCAGCAACTCTCAAGCATAAGTGACGGCTGGCTTAATGTTTGTTCCTCTGGAATGCAGCGTACGGGTTTCAGGAAGAACACGTGGGTATAACGACAGCACTATGACGCTACCGAGCTCGATAGATTTCATTTTGGAAACATGTCTTGTTGTTTCATCGAGAAAATAGCTTTCCATACAGCACCAGTGACTCTGGTCAGTTTACAAAGAACTGTCCCACCTTGAGTCGCATGGGGCTTGGAGAGGCCCGGCGATGGAAAAGAATTCAGGATCGAGTCATAGTCCAGCAGTCGAATTCACTTCATGCCGTAGTATTCATAGTTGTAGCGACTCATATGCAACTCTAGTCCTCCACAAGTCGGAGTACCTGGGCATTTTCAAACCCCAACTGCATAAACCACATGAAGATAATCGCTACAGTTCTAAAATTTTAATGAAGGCCTATTTTTCAGACGATTGCGGACTGTGGACGGTGTCCATCAGTTCCCTGGAATATCCATGCAGTAGAGTAGCCAGAGTCCATGAGGCCCAGTCACTAAAACGGTTGAATTGTTACTCCTTGTCTAAATCATTTCAGGTGCTTTGTCTGGATACGGTAGTTTAAATTTTACCTTGACTGAAAACGAAAAGCAAATGGACATTGGGCATACAGCTTGTCGTCCGATCATATTTTACTGGGGCACGCCATGGACTATGACATTTTAGCTACATTATTCGCAGCAAACCGGGAGGCAGAGACTCAGCTGCACATTTATTCTCTGCGGTAATTCGGCTGCTGGTGCAATTGCCAGCACAATACTAATGGCACCTTCACCTGCAGTGCATTAGAGGGCATCAGACTTCTTGCACTCGATTGAAGAGCGAAACAAAGATTACTCGACGCTCTGCACAAAATCGGATCAAGAGAAATGACCAGGAATGCAGGAAGATTGTGCAAAATGGAAGCAAGAGTCTACTCGAATTCACTGCAAGAAACAAGAAGCGATGTGAATCAAAATTAACGCAGGGAACCAGGATTCTGGTTTCAAAAGAAATCGAAGAGCGTGTGCAAAGTGTACTTCACATTGCGCGAGAAAGCAAATTTATTGTGAAGTGTAAAGGAGAGAGGTGTTTGATACGCACGGGTGACCGAACTGAGTGGACAAGCTGAGAGCTCTGCAGGTGAATCTGAAACATAAATGACTGGTTCGGAGCAAAGACGGTTGGATGTCTACTCAGAGTTTCATGGAAAGCATATCTAAGATGTGATGTAATCTGCGTTGTGTAAAACTCCATTCACAATTGGACTGGGAGAATGCGATTCTACACCACATCATGTCTGTATCTGTCAAAAGGATGGAGCAAAACGATCATATGCCTCAGTCAAGTACTCCGATACCAACGATATCTGTTACGTTCTTGGTCCCACGCTAATCCTGCCTGTCTATTTGTCTGGCCTGCCTCTCTGTCTTTCTTCTTCGTCCTGTCTGTTCAGCCCAAGGAGAGGTGCGAGTTGTTGTTCCAGAAGCAAAGTTTTTCTCGAAACATGGTCATGTGCGAGCGAGTTGCTGTAGTCTACCTCCTCCTTCTACCTATCGAGCTTTCGTCTTCCATCGCCAAAAGCTGCTCCCTCCTCCTTCCATCCTCCTTCTCCTTGTTTTCAGGCTTCTTGTAATTCTTCTTCTGTTCTTCTTGTCTTCAGGTTTCAGGTAGCTTTGTTTGTTGTCCTTCGTGACCTCAGGCTTCTTCTCGCAGTCCTTCCTCCAGAGATCCTTCACATCTTCATCGTACTTCTTGTCCTCCTTTTCTAATTTTTGCTCTCTCCAGTCCTTGTCATCCTCACACCAGTTCGCCCTCCGTCAAGGTAATCCTTGAAGACAGGGTCGAATTCCATCATGGCCATGATGGAATTCGGCTTCTCCACGTATGAACGAACCATGTCCTCAATATCAGCAACAATGCTATCCGATTGTCCCTCGACGGCGACCTTCGTCAACCCGGGAAGATCCACCAGGGTAAGATTGACCACATTCGGAGAGTAGACTGTAAGATAATTTGGAATTATTAAAATTCCCTTTCGACCACCAGCCCTGTATGTTTGATCGGAAATTTCTTTCCTGACAAGAGCAAAGCCCTCAAACCTCTTTCAAGGAGCATGAAGAAAGTCAGCCCACTCCCTCGTTCCATCCTCGGTCTTTTGCAACTGTAACACTAGGGGCCGTCTCATGACGATATCTGATCCACAAGGAAGAAAATCTTTCCCGACAACACTTTCCAACTCTGACGGCCTTCTTGAACTCTGTCCTCCGACCACAACCACCGAGGGCAAAGCATCCCACAAAGTTCCGAGAGCATTCTCACCTCCATTATCTTCAAGCACCGTGCAAGCCCTCTGTATTCTATTAACCAACCCTATCAAGCCATCCATGTTGTGCGCCCGCGCGGGTCCTGTCACAAACAAAGCTCAATTCCCCGGATTCGCTCTTCTCCTCCTCCAACTTCTCGCCGAACACAATGATCACGACCAGCCAGCTCCAATCCCACCCTCCTTCGTTCCCAAATACAGATTGCTCCCGTCACCACTTCAAGCGAGCAGCAGAAGAAGGCAAATGATTTCTAGGCTCTGCTTTCCTCGATCCACATAGTCCCCAAGGAACAAGTAGTTGGCCTCAGGCGGAAAACCGCCATATTCAAACAGCCTCAAAAGATCTGAATTCTTGCCCATCGATATCACCACAGATCTTGATAGGAGCCTCGAGCTCTAGCAGGTTGGGCTGCGCCAAGAAAAGGTCCTTGGACGCCAAGCACAATCGTCGGATCTCCGCCTCGGACAACTGGACTTGTTTGCCTGGCCTTCCTGCCCGAACTTCCAACAACCGCAAAATAATGTTGTCCAGCACATTCGCGTCCACCACCCCCTCCGCCTAAAGTCTTCCGATTCATGCTCGTCAAGTCGTTTTTTGAATCTGGGTTCTTGATTTCGTTACAGAAATAAAGAACTCAAGAAGTCTTCCACGTTGCTCCATTCCCACTCACCTACCTAACTATCACTAAATCTTAATAGCATTATTTTTCTTTTCTATTTAAATATTCTAATCTCTTATACTCCTGAACTTCAAACAATATTTATTACTTAGTGCTAAATTCAAATGTGAGAATATAATTCAAGTCACAAATGTCTAAACATATGTTTTTCATTTGCATACTGACATTCTAAGGTCTTCAATTTCCTAACATGTCAAAATGCCAGAACTAAGACCTTTATTCATGCAGTCCTCGCACACCCATGCATGCAATTCTGGTGTCACATATTTCACCTGATACAAGCTGAAGATTGACGAATAGCTATCTTGAAGCTGAGGCGCATGAGTTTGCTGAATCCTCAACCATGCTTCTGTCAGCTCCTTGCTTTTTTCACCTTTTAGAAGTGCACTACGATCACGATCGCTAATGCCATCTAGATTTACAACAACAGATCCAAGAGATACAGCCGCCCGGAACAACGAGTTCACAAATATTGCAGCTAATATACCAACTAAGAGTAAAGGGAATGAGGATGAATTCGCAGTCCACGCGACGTACACAAGCGCTCCAGCATAATACAAGGATTCCAAGGAGAATTGAAGATATTTCCGAAACACCTCCCGATTCTTCCGAACCAAGCATAATCTCAAAGCTTCTTGATCTTTGACCTCGTGATGTCCAGCTTCAGACTCACACATCAAATTTAAGGGAACGGCTGTCTGGAGCTGCAGAAAATTACTCACCCTTTCCATAATTCCAACAGAGAAGTCTGCGTTGACGTAAGGTTGCTTGGGGGTTGTCGACATCGTCAGTATAACGTAAGGTAGCTTGGGGGTTGTCGCGTGCTGAGGACAATGAGAATACTGAATCAAGCTTTCCACTTCAGAATTGAAGTCAGTCAATGTTGACTGCAGTTCTTGTTGCAAATCGAGTATCTGTCCTAGCTTGATATCCAATTTCTGCAGAATGATCTCCACTGATCTCAAGCTCTCGTCTAAACTATCAACATTTTGCCCAAGCTGATCGATCCCAACTTAGTGTCCAATCTCTGCACAATGGTCTCCACCGATCTCAACCTGTCATCTAAAGGATCAACCTTTTGCCCCAGCTGATCGATCTTGAAACGCTAGATTTGTTGCACATTTCTTCCCTGCTCCAATTTGGCTTCCATGCAATTGACAGCAAGATAAGCTTCACTTAATAATAACAGTTTCAGCCTTCGAAGTCAATCTACCGGGAAGGTTTCCAGGAAAGCACAAACCTTGTCGAATGACGCGTATTTTTCCCATTTTCACTTTTTCAGCTCCTCTACAATCAAATTAATGTCGATGAACTGCTGCAGTAACTGGTGATGGATAACTTCGTAAAACTTCAAAACTTCAAACCTCCCAAAACTTCTAGAATCTGCAGTCGGATAATTGGTGTACTTGTAAGATAATTGTACTAAAATGTTGCATTGGCACGCATTTATAGCATTGGCATGGTTCGTTGAAGATTCTGTTTGACTTACTCCAGTTATTCCACAGAAGAAAGTGATGATGATGCGTTGGCAACTATTGTTTTTTTTCGTACCTAAGTTAAAAAGTACAACGCATAAGACAATACCTCTACTGCAGAGTCTATCACAGTCATGCCATCACCTTTTCTCCTAGTAGCTTCACAAGCAATCATGAAGAAGCCTCTGCTCTACTGGTGAGTATTATACAGCTGCTGGGTTACGGGACTAGTAAAAATCAATCAGAGTCGCATAGATTAGCACAAGTATGATATTGCGGGTGATTTATTAAAATGCTATGAAACACGTAACAATTCCAAACTGTGTTCTACCAGCAACTCTCTCTCAAGCATACGTGACGGCCGTCCATATGTTTGTTCCTCTGGAATGGATTTCAGAAAATCAGAAAAACATGTGGGTATAACGACAGCGCTATGACGCTACTGAACTCGATAGAATTCAATCTGGAAACATGTCTTGTTGTTACATGGAGAAATTAGCTTTCCATAGAGCACCAATGACTCTACTCAGTGTACAAATAACTGTCCCACCTTGAGTCGCATGGGGTTTGGAAATGCCCTGCGATGAAAAAGAATTCAGGAACGAGTCGTAGTCCAACAGTCGAATTCAATTCATGCAGTATTTATACTGTAGTCCTGCACAAGTCGGAGTACCTCGGCATTCTCAGATTCGAACCATGATGAAGAGTATCGTCTCGTCAACTTTTCCAGGCTTTACAATCGCACATGCACCCGATGGGTTTCCTTGCCCCTTCCTTCCTGGCTGGGCGAGTCGTCGGGCGAGGATCGGACACGCAATCGATGGGGATTTGGTTTTGAGTTCTTCTTAAATTCCAACGCGCTCTAGTACGTCACCAGGCACGAGATTCTTCACCGCAATGACTGGAGCACTTCCTGGTACACCAATTTCATTGAGATTTCCGAAAAGCGGTCCACATTATTCTTCGTGGCCATCTCAGTGGGAGTGGAGACCACTTCAACAGTCAGGTTTTCAAAAGCAAGGCGTCCGTGCTTTTTTTTGTGAACCGGCATGTGTGGTGATCCCCTGAGCTTCTGTCAGCTGCTGAAGGTTCAAAGTAATAACCGGAAAGTTCTAGACGCCAAGTCTGTTAGACACAGAATATAATGCCTAACTGAGATCAAGCAGATTCCATAAAAGCGCGTCACTTGTGGATCTTGATTTCTATTTCCTAACGATTGATGAAATGCAGAGGTAATGAACAATTTCTTCACCGGCTGAATTTTGATCTCTAACCATCGGCTTTAACTGCTGACGTGCGGTGACACAGTTTTCTGGTTTTTGTATGAAGATTTGGTTGGATGGTCTTCCTCTGCAGCTTCTTTGATGCGGATGTTTCATTGTGTTTGGTGTTTTCAGCTCCGTCCATGCTCCAATTCATTAATTCTGGCATTCGGCTGGGTCGCTTCAGCTCTTATGATGGAGACGACACAGCTTTTGTTCTCTCCCGGTAAACTCAACAGCGTTCTCATTTACAGCGATCTTTACATCCTCATCTCAAGCCCAACAGGTTCAACAGACAATACATTATCTCCCGATGAGAATTAACAGTTCTTACGTATCTCAAGATTATGAGGCAAGGAATCACCTCATGCGAACTCTGACTTTCATGCTCATGAGAAAATCTTTCGATGCTAGTGTATTCTTGTGCGATATCTAATTTTTGAATTGCTACGTCAAAGCAAGCAGTTCTTTCATCTTGCTGACAGTTTCACCAGCCTCGTCCTCTCTTCTGTTCTGATTGCTTGGAATTTTTGGCTTGCCATTTTCATTGCTACCTTATGCCGCCATATCAAGTCTTCTTCTTCTTCTGTGCACACCGAACATAAGTACTAGCACCTACTCCTGTTTACCTCGAGAGCGGTCGAAGTAGTTGACAATGTGTTTACCAGTACCTCCAGAATCTGCTAAAAGCCCTCATCAGAACAGGTGGAGAAGGAAAATCCTCACCACCTTTCTGCTTTCCAAGCAGGCGAGGGTTGATTCCTGTGCAGTGGAAATTGCAGAATCTGGTGCGGAAGTGGATTTCAAGTCGCAATCTGCTCTAGCAATGTATGATAAGTGTCCAGTATGCATGAAGTCTGACGCTCAATGGTATTCCTGTGATAGACGTCTGATTATTAATGTGAATAAACGTACTTTCCAGTTCACCAGCTGGTATAGTGGGAAATCAATCTACTTCACACCACTTGCACCACTTGTAGGACCGCAAAAATTACTGGCAAATCAAATTGAGACCTTACGTCAGAAGCAAATCGGAGAATTTCCGGAGAATATTTTACCACGACTAGTTCTTGTTGACTTCGTTCACTCCAGCTCGCCTTCCACTCTCCATCATTCAGGTTACCGCACAATTCTACCCCCTTTCTTTATTATACTGAAGGTGCGCTCGCTCGTTATTGGACGTGCTGGTGTCGAGATGACGAGTGCTTGACTTTGGTGTACCTACCGTCCACAGGGCTACCCGTAGTGGCAGAGCTCGGCTTCCAGAGTCTCGGAGTTGGTCATAGTCAAGGCTTCCAGGCTTCTTCTAACGAAGGCTCTACCGAAGACAGTTCCTTCAAATACAGGTCTAGGAGTGCTCGTCGAATCTTGGCGTAATTACTGTTATATCTTTTTTCTTTTTCTTTTCAATGCCGCATTCCCAAATTCGGTAAACTTTCGTTTTATATTCGAATTTATTTTTCACCGACCCAGTGGATTTATTAAATGGTCTCATCCAGAAGCGGATGCCGAGGAGGAAGAGGATAACGACTGTTAGAGGTTTACTTCTGAGTGAGAAAGTACTGTACGAAATTCCAATTAACTGTCTTCGCCATGTCTGTCTGTCCCTGTACAGATTATGGGATGAAACTCTGGCAGTACTGTGCTCCTTCCTTCTGCTGTAGCACGCGAAGAAATTCGGCCATCGCTAAAATGAGAAGATTAAACTAAGGAGGACTAGAAAGTTTAGCGAAATTGATGGGAAGGTCCCATCAAGCCTCATAAGCATCAAATCAAACAAGTAACACGGGGCTAGTCCCCATAGCACCATATTGTAAAATGTTTTTGGCTGATGTAACTAAAAGAACCGAAATTGTACAATTCACGGGGATGCAAATAATAAATAAAGTGTGCATACCAATCAGAAGAATATAATGTGATGAGTTTTCTGCACATCTCTGCACAACGGTCTCCACTGATCTCAACCTGTCATCTAAAGGATCAACGTTTTGCCCCAGCTGATCGATCTTGAAACGCTGGATTTGTTGCACAGTTTTTCCCTGCTCCAATTTGGCTTCCATGCAATTGACAGCAAGATAAGCTTCACTTAATAATAACAGTTTCAGCCTTCTAAGTCAATCTACGCGTATTTTTTCCATTTTCACTTTTTCAGCTCCTCTACAATCAAATTAATGTGGATGAACTGCTGCAGTAACTGGTGATGGATAACTTGGTAAAACTTCAAAACTTCAAACCTCCCAAAACTTCTAGAATCTGCAGTCGGATAATTGGTGTACTTGTAAGATAATTGTACTAAAATGTTGCATTGGCACGCATTTATTGCATTGGCATGGTTTGTTGAAGATTCTGTTTGACTTACTCCAGTTATTTCACAGAAGAAAGTGATGATGATGCGCTGGCAACTATTGATTTTTTTTGTCGTACAACGCACAAGACAATGCCTCTACTACAGAGTCTATCACAGTCATGCCATCACCTTTTCTCCTAGTAGCTTCACAAGCAATCATGAAGAAGCCTCTGCTCCACGTGTGGGTATAACGACAGCGCTATGACGCTACTGAACTCAATAGAATTCAATCTGGAAACATGTCTTGTTGCTACATCGAGAAATGAACTTTCCATAGAGCACCAATGACTCTATTCAGTGTACAAATAACTGTCCCACCTTTAGTCGCATGGGGTTTGGAGATGCCCTGCGATGAAAAAGAATTCAGGAACGAGTCGTAGTCCAGCAGTCGAATTCAATTCATGCAGTATTCATACTCTAGTCCTGCACAAGTCGGAGTACCTCGGCATTCTCAGATTCGAACTATGATGAAGAGTATCGTCACAGTTCCGAATTGTCCATGAACCAATATTTTCCGGACGGTTGAGGACCATGACGATGTCAGTTCGTTCTCTGTACTATCCATGTAGTACAGTAGCCAAATATTCCTTAAGGCCCACTCACCAGACGATGGATATGTTCATCCTTGTCTTCATCACTTCAGATGCTTTTGTCTGAATATGGTAGTTTGGATTTACCCCTGCCTGAAAACGAAAGCAAATGGACATTGGGCAGACCACTTGGATTCCGATCATATTTTAATGGGGCATGCCTGGACTTGAACAATTTAGCTACATTTTTTAAAGACAACCAGGAGTCATGATACATGTTATACATTTCTTCCTCCTTGTCTTAATCATTTTCAATGCAATTTCCAGATCTCTGGAAATCGCAAATGATTTTGATGTGTTTGATAGAATGTGAAGTTTATATCAAGTATGCAAACTTTAACTTAAAGATAAGTGAAAACGAAAATTGTAGTTGGTCGTTTAATTTAATATTTGTATTGATAGGAACAAGTATGGATAAGGTAAAATAATATAGCTTTTGATGCTAACAAAATCATATTTTAACATCAATAATAATGACGGTATGAAAAGATATCAAGAAGAATTAAACAGAGTTGCATTTAGACTTACCTGTTTGGAATAGAATACTTGTGGAGTTAATTTGATTTTCAATCATCAAAGAAATTCTAACAAGATTCAACCGTAGATCAACACTTTTTTCAGATTCAGTCTATTTCATGATACATGAACTTTAATAAAATGTAGTTAGTACTTTTGAATAATTTATTAGTGTTTATTATGACAAAAAAGTATCCAAGCTCGTATTTTTATTGAATCATTCTCATGATATAAGCCATTGAGCTCATATAATATTCTTCCAATTAATGATGTTGATGAGTATTTTGCTCAATGAAATTTTTTACATACAAGCATTGCTCAAATATCACTTAAAATGTCTAGATATTAATTTTTTTAATTCAAAATTTATTCTAATATCTAAGTCTGTAAAATATATCGATGAGGAGAGATCTAATCCAATAGAAACTAAGCTGATTGCAACACCATTTACATTATTTAGGTTCTTGGCTAAATAAACGTATATGCTTATCTAAAAAATATCTCCAATTATAGTTGCAACACTTGTAAATAAAATTGTTAAAAAGTCAGCTGTTTGGAAATATAACATTTGACAATATTTAGACAGTAAGAAATTCAAAAGAATATTTTTTAAAAAAATTCTGAATAAAAAATTACTTTTATTAATAGTTTTTATCACATAATGATGTGACATAAGTATATAAAAAATACGAAATTGAACAACCATAAATTTTATCTTTAGGTTCAGTATGTTGATTCTAAATAATGATTGATTGTTGTCAGATTTTATGGCTAGCATGTTTATATAAACACTTTCTGCTATACTTGATGAAATATTTGAAATATAATAAGGAACGAAGTGGTAGAAATGAGAATTGCTAGGCACACACACCCCCCCCCCGTCCTGTGCATACATCCACTCGGTTGCGGTAGTCACCAGCGGTACCGTTGCGGTAGTCACCAGCTTGTGCGCAGGCTAGCCATACTTTGCGCTTCTCGCCGCCCTTGTTGACCTTGGAGTGCAGGCGACTCAAGTTGTACCCCTTCCTGTGAGCAAAGGCAAAGATCTCCGTCTCGGCTTCCTCCAACGACGCGTAGACGCGATCCAGCGGCGGTGGCTCCATCTTTAGTGATATGGTGCCTCTGCGAGTGAGACGGCTACTTCTGTCGATTTGAGCGTGCTATTAAGGTCACGGGCGGTCATCCCTCTTTTGGGGAAGGTGTGTGCCTAGCAATTCCCATAGAAAAATGTGCTTTTATCAGAATGACATTAAATTCAAAAAAAATATTATAATTTAAAAAGAATTAGAATTTTTTACTCTTAGAATTTTTTCATTTAACCTCAATAAAATATTGCAATGATTTTCCAAATGCATGATTGTATTGAAACTTAATAATTATATGTTTATGATATACTCATACGTAGCGTAATTATTTGGAAAATGTATCAATTTTTATTCAAAATTCATTATACTTTCTGTAACTAGAAATGATATGTTTTTGCATCAGTATATTATACGATTACTTAAAAATAATCTAAAAGAATTCATCTCCTGATTGTATCTTTACTATTCATGATTCTGTAATTTGAAAAATATCTTTCCATATTCTTTTTCTTTTTAAATACTTGTTCATATTTTTATATGGTCATAATCTAATGAAATAATTATTTTTCTTTTTATGAAAATTTTGAATGATTTTTTCATTGATGATTATCAGTATATAAATAATTCCTTTTTTAAACTTCTATTTTAAGAATCCTAAATATACTGATAAACTTATTTCATGAAGAAATTGAAATAACTTTTCCTGTCCTACGCCTTTACAATTCTTCTCTCAACAAAGAAGTACACAACATTAGCCGTTGCTACGCTTGCTTCAATAACATTTCTTAGTCTTGGACCATTAAACATAGTCTCTATTGTCACCTTCGACAAAAATGAATTAACATATGTTCTCGGAAACTCAGGCACACGATACACCTCCAGAGATAGTAAGTGTCTGCAGGACCTGACGCGCTAAACTCATTCAAGATATCCTCCAAATACAATCTCATATCTCACGCTGCTGTGTCTAGGAGTGATTAGTCCTATGGTGGCTACACCCCCTAATTGGTAGATTATTAGATACAGGGATTAAGAAGAATAGTATTTAATTTCACAAAGTTATGCAGACTTTCCAATTCAATAATTCTAAGGCTAGTTTAAAGCAAACTGGGGGTGCGATCCAGTGGAATCTCTTCACATCGTGGCAATAATCGTAGATAACATAATTGTACTTAATCCACCTCAGATCGTCAATCTGAGCTTGTGTCAGAGCAAGGTTCGGAGCCTGACCATATGAGCTGCTGTACAGCTTTTCAAAGCAAGCATGTGAAGAGCTCACTGTGTAATCCCTGATCTCACAAGCATTCCAGACGTTGAAATTGGTGTAAGATGCAAGGAAAGGCTGAAGGCTCCAGTCCGTTTTCACTCCACCACCACAAGTCGCCCACGATTCTCCGTTCCAGATGCGAGAATAGATGTACATTGGTTGATAACCCAAGTAAGGAATGCCGAGATCCGCTGCGCGTGGAAGACCCTGATGACGCGGCTATCGACCAAAAACCTGCAAAAGAATTGGTGCAGAACACCTCAGTTTTTTCGAAAAAGGCTGACTCAGTGAGTCACGTACTCAATTGGAGGTTGTCGACGGCCTAAAGTACCACATTCGATAATTGCAGGGAGAAGACAGATTACAATCTGTGAAGATACTTACAGAATGAGGTCCTGGTTCCACAGGATTCCGTACTCATGGTAATCAGCAGTGGGATCGAACCACAGAAATACCTGTGGTTTATACCCTGTAGGAAACAGGGTATAATACTATGTAAGAATATGTTGAATGTTTCTTACATAGTAAGGAGTAATAGTTCCGGCAGAGTTGCCTCCAACGAGCTTTAGCTGCATGGAGAGGTTCCCAAATAAGTAAGGGTATTTCGACTGGAATACAGATCCTGCAACACACAATAATCAAGCTTCAGATTCCAAGTTCATCTAAAATGGATTGAATTGTCATGACAGGGGATGGTACAGGCGAATAAACAAAAATTTCCACAAAACATGTTGATCAACAATGCAACAGCAGGATCATTACCAGTAGTGTTGTCTAAGCCCAAAGCAATAGTACTTCCGGTATCATACCCTGGATACTGCACTTTGCCATCTCTAAAATTCACGTAAAAGTCATCCCAAAACTTCGATCCTTGCACCACCGCTATGGATGTGGCAGCCAAAACCAGTGTAGTGAAAATCAATTTCATTCTAACCAATTGCAAACTATGTAGGTTGGTGAAACCTTCAGTTGATGAATCCTTTCTAAATTCAAGCCTCTGGACTTGAGAGTGAGGGAGAACCTTGAGCCCAGAAGATTTGAATGATGAAGAAAC